GGAGTTAAAGCGGCACACAGAGGCGAAGAGTTTTATGTTCAACTGTTTACAAAATATCCTCTTATTATAATTAGGAATGTCTCCAGTTTGAAATGAAGTAGTTAATTTCTAGTATTAGCGGAGGAAGACTGCCTATTTCCAATTAAGATTTGTACGGTCGGTGACCAGCATCGGTTCACTTGGCCCGTTGAAGTTCACTAATGCAAATCTTCTCCAACGCTTAAGTAAAAATTACAGACTTTGCCTGCATATACATTTATGTAATAAGTTAGTTGTTTTTTAGCTCTCAGTCATGGTGAAGGGCCACTTGAGGTCTCAACCATTACACCTTCTCCAGGTGAGCTAGGCTTCGGGGCAGGCGAGTAGCCCCAAGACCTACTGTATACCGAATATGTATATGCTGCCCCAGCATTACATCTTCTTTCGTCTTCAAGGAAGTCTCAAGACGCCGTGCTAGTCATTAAGAATACACAGAAAGCCAAAAAATCTGGCTATCTATGTAAATTTCCAGCCATTATTTCCTTTTTAACCCAACGAAAACTAACGCCAAAAAGATTACTCCGCTCCATATTGTCTTTAGGAAAATGTAAAAGTCCAAATTATTCTTAAATTTTAGGTTTCAAAAATGGAACAACACAAATTGATAGACTGTGCTGCCAATTTCTGCAAGCTGGCTGGAAAGTCAGCCGATTTCTGAGTCGATTCAGATTGAATTCCATTAAATGAAGCATCAGAATTTTTCATTTAGGTTTTACGACTGCGAAAGACTCTACCTGACACTGGTGGTTGGGAAGGTCTTGTGTGGCTGAGGGCAGTTATGGTGTAGCGCAGTGCGTCAAAGAGTACAAAAGGTGCACAGGAAAACCCACTGGCCCCTGCGCTACTTGATTTTTAATGTGATGTTAGAATGGGGAAGCAAGACTATAATCAAAAACTTATGACAATTAAAAATTGCCATTTCTTTGGGCAAAATGTATTTTTTAGTGAAAGGTTAACTGATAAAGAAACAAATACTAGTTATTTTAAAGCGATGGTGGATTTTTTTCTTTCCAAATTGGTAGAAATTGATTTAAATAAGTACTTTAACACTAAAGACAGAAATTTGCATTTGTAAGAAAGGATGCGCACCCACCATGACGTAAGTACTTCTCCTCAACTTGGTCAACTTCAAAATCCTACAAGCGCCTTTATACCTAAGACGAAATGCGAAATAAAATTATAATTTGACAATTTACTTATAAACGAAGCAAAGTAAAGTTAACAATGAGAAGTCGAAATGAAAATGCACACTAGGATTGGTATAATGTACGTTTCAAAGTACTCTACCCGCCACCATAATAAAATGAACATGAATAGGTGAACAAATCGCTAAATTAAACAAAACAGACTCCTTTAAATTGTAATTGCATATTTGTTTCTGATGATCATAGGCACAAAAAGAGCTGTACTGTTTAAACAACACAAAGACATTTTAATGAGGTAAGACTAACGGCTTCCGATTGGCTTGAAAAACATTTATGTAGTCATTTTGTGGATTTGCAAAGAAAACTAACACCACATCCGTACTCACAAACTGTTAAGCAGTAGTTTTCAACCCTACGAAGCAAAGGAGAAATGTTAAGTATTCAGCTAGTCCTCACGGATTCCACCGGGTGCCTAATGGCTTAATAGTTCGTTTAACTCGGGGTTTGATTGCGCGGGCGCTCAAGTCTCCACGGATTGTGCTTTCGCTCGGCGTCATGGCCTCTGGGCCATGAAGGCTATGAAGTTAAGAGGTTGTAAAAAGCTACAAGAACACAATATTCATGATTTAAAAATGAATCCAGAATGCATCTAAATGACTGTTGTTCAATATCTTTTGCTTCATTCCCCGATTCGAAGTGCTCTATTTTAGAGTGGTTTTAAATAATATTTGGCTACAATACGCAAGGAGATAGTATTCATTATCAACACATTTGCCCATTCAAAAATGTTGAATACGTGTTACCTGGGTAAGTACATCGACTAACAGTGATTGAGGTGATTGACTGGGGAATTGCAAGCATTTGTAATGGGTAGATACAGCAGATGAAACCAATCTTCTACCTCATGTGTGCGCAGATTGCTCTTCAATTGTCATCTTTTTCGTGTCCTTAAATAGACTAATTCATCCGACAATAAGTAGATGGAGACGCCTAAGAGTATGTTATGGTTGGTTGATTTACGATTATACTTAAAGATATGTCCATTCATTTCATAATGGTGGCATAAATGCACGACCCTCCTCCAAAGCAAAATGCATTTCATGTTTTATCGTTTATTAACGAATAAAAATGTTTTTCTTTTATCTGTGCGATTTTTATACATAATGTAAACACATTAGACAAGTAATTCACGTTTAGTAGAGCGAAGTTTCTAATACTGGTTAGAAGCTTAAAGCAGTCGGTTCCTGTTTTACGCTTTTTTAAAAATGGAAAGATGGTTCCAGCTCCACAGTAGTGGTCCTTATTTATGCAAAGTTTGGCGGTTTGAAGTGAGCGAATTCTTTATGTTTTGTAACATGACCATCAATTTTTAATATTGCTCTACAGTAATCTTTGATGGCAAATATTATTAAATCGAACTGTATCTCTGCACACTGTAGTTTTATGCTATATGGGACCCACTACCGGTAAGGTGAGGCACGTAATCAGGTAGTTCACACTTTGTTAAAAGCATTAGACATTTGGAAGGTGGTTTTTTGGGTTTGAAGCAGTTTATGTCAAATCATGCAATTGCAAACCAACTGGGGCAAAGATTATGCAATTCTATGGTCATTTGTTTCGCTTTCAGTTTTTCGCTTTAAGAGCTTAAGGTTTAGCAATTGTAGTACCGCTTGGCGGCATGGTTTCTACTTTGGTAGCACATGTTCTGCCTATGTATTGTGTTTTCTTCTGTCTTCGGGAAAGTCTTGAGGCACTACAGATAAGTGGTGGAAAGTAACATTTACGTAAATAAAGTTTTCAAATAATATGTACTCAGGGTGTGTCAAGGTGACATCTTGCATCTTCGTGAACAAAGTGAAGTTGTGAGGTGGTGAGCAAATAAAAGGGAAAGAAGTTCTGATGCTTAAAAACACTTTGAAAACATATATACACATACATATTTTACTGAATTCAAAAAATTCCACGTGTTTATGAAAATTGATTACTTAAGAATAATATTCCATCATAGATTATTAAAGCATGTTACAATATGGACGGTTTTTCTATTTCAGTTTGCTTTTTGAGTTTTAAACAACATTCTTTTCTTAAAAATTTAATGATATTTACCTAACTTAGAAGTATTTTCGTGAGTTCTGAACACTGGGCGTATGCATTCCTTTGGATACAAAGAAAATTGTCGCTCTTTCAACGAAGGGAATAGGACCATAAATTAAATAACAAGATTATAATTCATAAACCTTTCCTTACCATTTCAATAATAAAGACGTCTCATATTTGACGAATTTTTGTTCATGCTTGTGGTGGGCTTCGATGACCCAATATTTTTCTATAAACATAAAAGCCTCCATTCAGTTTTTCAAACAGAAGAAGCAATAACTAATTAATTATAAATTTACTTAGTCATTCATTTCGAAAACTCAAAAACTTGACCTTTATTAACTGGATCTGTTCTGCGTTCATCAAATATCAGTCCTAAGAAAACTTTGAAGAGTTAGAGATTGTTACGATGTACCCAGGGTAAGTTACAACAAATATGCGACATTTTTACGGATAGTGAATACATTCAAATGGTCCTGCAATTTTAAATGTCGCAACGACCAAAACTTTCTCTGCTACCATCCAAGCTGGTTTCTTCTTAGGATTGTTCAAGCTTACGTAGGCATTTCAGCTGTCCCCCAGGCTATTTCGTAACTAACACGGTGTGGCAATGGACTGTCAGTATTGGAGTTGAACCACTTTGCCTTTAAATGATGTTCTTTTTCTGAAGTAAGATTTTTCACACAGTCAAATGATCTTATCTGGGAACGATAAGTTTATTTCTGTATCTGTAATTAGTACACCCGCGGTATATTGCGTGACATAACAGAATCTTTGACTGCCTATATAAATTGAAAGTCACAATGTAACCTTGGTAAAGATTTATACTTTTAGTCTTATTTATCTTAGTTTATCTTCGTTTATCAATTCCCGTTAAGAAATAATTGGTTCTGGTTGAATGTGGCATGATGAGTCAGGTGCTGCCTCCTGAACCATGGTTGTGTGGCTCAGTGGGTTACACCGAAAACGAAGTACAGAGATTGGCATATGGATAAACGGCAAAGAACATTCATGGGAGCTTTGTTTTACTCCTAACGTAGTGTGGAGGTATAACGAAATACATCAATCATGCCAAGTGGTTGGGAGGCAAAAAACTCAGTTGGAAGTTACTTGATTTTGTTTGAAACACATACCCAACCCTTGCAGATCTAGAGTTTAATATCCAACAATTACATTGCGTGGGCATTTTTTCATTTCTAAGAGCTTTTAACAGCATTTAACTGGCTCATATCTGCCATGTGAGTAAAAGTAGTAGTAAGAACTTAATAACTTAATTTATTGATAGGAGTATATAGTTTTCTAAAATATTTACTAATATCAAGATTTGAAATGCAGATTTTACACTTGAGAACTATCGTCACCCTACCTGTTCTCAGCGTCTATTGTGGGAAATTAATAAGATGGTCCATCATACTATCCATCGCAGTATATTTACGCCTTATTTTCAAAAATTTGGATAGAATTCCGGGTAATGTGTTCTATGTGACAGTTGATTGTCGAACAAGTACTTTAATCCTAGAGTCAAATCTAACTTGAAGTAGATTTGAAAGCTAAGAACTAAAGCCCAAATTTAATGCTCATTAAAATACAGAGGTCCAATATTCGCAAACTTAAATTATGCTTGAATTAATTTAGCATTGAAGTTACCTATTTCTCAATTTCTATGGCTCTTGTGAGTGAACAAATAAAGTGAGAATTATATCTCCAGTGAGTTGGAAAAATTAAAAAGTGCCGGTTAGCTATTTTGGGGATGCTTAATAAAATACAATCCTGGGAATGAAAATATTTGGTCACGCTAATGTTCTTTTTTAAAGTGGTGCTTCGCTTTACGCATGGTTGGATGAGGTTGCGTTTCGTCAGTTGGCATATCGAAGGATCAGCTGCCACTTGGGTGTGTGCTGCGTGCGTTTAACCAAATTACCCGTTCTTTCCTCTTTTATGAAGAGGTTTGAGACACTTTTAGTTCAGTTTTGACTCTTTCAACGATATTTTTCTCTCCCCGGTCACGCTGATGATATTCAGCATTCACTCGTGATGGATTCGCTCAGAATCTCTCGCATTTAGCACCAATCATTCCAAAGTTCATCATAATTACACATTTTGGGGTTAATCTGCGCACAAAAGTTGCCCTCAGCCTTTACCTTAGCGCTAAAAGCCATAAAAGCTATTTTTGCATTATTGGCTACCAATAGGAAATGAAACATTTACGTCTCATTGGAGTGATCACTTTGGGTATTATGAAATGAAACAAGTAAATAATTGACTCCGATCGGCAAATATGTGCTGTTTTAATTCTGCAACTTTTGTTAATCACTTCTGAAGTGTATATTAGCTTTACCATTTACTGTACACCTTTCACTTTCACTTGATACTTTAATTTTAAAGTTAGGAAGAAGCAAAAAAGAAATTTGTTTTCAAACTCTTGGAAGTCCTAGCAATTTTTAACTTGCATAATTCGGTTCTTTGCCACTTTATCGCCAGACTGTCTTTTATGTATTCAACCCCCATAAACATGTAGGCTCACCGAAACCATCACTTTATGACCATTTCTTTGGCTTGTTTGGGGTTGTGAACCTCTACTACTGGTTTTCGAAACTTGTTGGCAAAATATGTCAAATGCCTCCCCAAAAGCAGTAGTCCTTGTAGATTTGATCTCCGACATTCTAGTTAGATTACCAAAGATAAATATTCTGCTAGCATTGGTATGGCCAGATGATACCGCCCAAAGTAACAACAGGATTAACCATTGCTGAAGAAAATATTTTAACAATTCTGGGCACTTTTACAATTAGCAATTACAGAATGAATATTTTTAAGGCTTAGGAGGACAGTTAGTTAGAGTTCCTATAACGCATAATTTGGTTACTCTTCTGCTGATTTACTGCATGCAAGCCGACACCGGATTGTTAACAGATATTTTCCCTTTCTTCTTCCACAATGCAATTTGCAGTTGGAAATATCAACAGAGTAGAGTGCTTTAAAATATTTTATGAAGTCAACAGAAAAATATGATTACTTTAAAAAAAACAAAAGTTGCAATAATTTTACAAAAATAACGCTACGATCAGATATGACGGAATTTGGATGTTTTGCCCCGAAAAATCGCCATGTGGTCATTGGGTTGGGTGATAATTTTGCATCAGTTATCACTTGCAATATCAATGTGTCTTAGCATAGGAGGAAAAATTCCCCGGGGCCTGTTTTCGGAATGTTTACACGCGATGCTATCCAAAGGTGGTCTCAAAACAGTCAGATATAGAGACATTTTAGGATTGGCTTGGAGTGGTGATAGTAACTCTTATACAAAGAAAAGCAATGTCTATGCAAAGAACTGACGAAAACAAATCAATTAGATACAAGGTCTGACCGACAGATAGCAGAGCTTTCTTATTAATTCTGAAGTTTTTATAACAACACGAAAAATTCATAAGTCAACCTTTTATTCCTTTGTCCTTAGAAAATTTATACAATTTACCATAGCTTTTACTTATTAGGAGCACTAAAATCTAAGAAATGATGAATTAATACAACTGTGAAGTGTTAATAAGACTAATCAGTATGGTCTTACACTCCAAACAACACCTCTTCCGATCCTCTGATGGTAAGAAATTATCATGCGATCCCAAATGGAATTTTTTAAGTAGGTGGTTTTTAAAAGCTGCAGTGGTGGAGCCATTTAAAGGTGAATCCATCCCAATGATTCATGAGAAGTGTTATATGTACTTTCTTAATTTATATGTTATGTCCCTTGATTAGGCACATTACGTTTCGGCACTCCCTTTATTTGATGTAAGGCTTTAATATCCACAATATGACCTTTTAACAAGACTTTCTTGCTTTTACAACAGTGCATCGAAAAGTGTTTATGCATTGAGGATGTCAATCAAGCAAACATCAACAAACTGTAACGTACACAGAAAAGAATTTGATTAGTTGCATACCACTGGGATATTATTCGACTTAATAAATAATTGATAGTTCCGATATTAAATTTCTGTAGCCCAGCAGTACTTTCTCCTCAAAAGAAAATAATGCGTTTTATTCAGAAAACCATCTGGATGCAGAATGTTACCAAACAAAACGTAGTAAATCAAACTACATTAGAACACTTTAACTGTACATGAAGAGTTGTAATTTTAGCGCTTTTAATATTTGCATAAAAAGAGATCAATTGTAAATGTTAAGGGAATCGAAGAACAGGTTTATCCGTGCCAAAAAACCGAAAGGCCACTTTCTTCATTTAATTTATATTTATTAATCTCACTTCAACTTGCGACACTATGACAAGAACTGCGCGAAACACATAAAACTCAGCCATTTACATCCAATTTGTTTCCATCTGAACTGCCACTAATATGCGTGATTTTCTGCAATAAGTGCTATCTTCTGCGATCAGAGAGCCCAATAAGTGCAGATGACCATCGCAATGAGGTTACCTATGGAGGTTTTGGTTTATTTGTAATGCTAGCCATAGTAGTGTTTGCATAGTCTCGTCTTTTCGCCGTCGAGTAGTCGTGGCGTGAATGGGATAGTAAAAATGGATGAACTCATATTCCTATAACTTTAAATCGCAGCCACAAACTCAAACCACCTACTATTTTAGGTGCCATTAGTACATATCCAAAGTTCACTGCGTTTGCTTTCCAACAACGATTTCATTATGTCTTATGATGTTTTAAATGCAACTGTGGGTCGTGTTTCCAAAAGTTCAGAGGGAAGAATGACAATGATACGAAGGAGAACTTTTAATTTTGGTTTCTAATCAAGCGCAATATTACATTTAACCAAAGCCTAGCATTTTGTTCACAATAAGTAAAAAAATATTATTATCAACACTAGTAAAGCCTGCAAATACGTATCATGCAAAAATTACCTTCTACTTTCATTTGCACGGAATGACATAGCCGATCTTGAAAAGTTTACCATAAAACAGTTGCATATATTTCGGAAACTTTAAAATGCGTCGCATAACACTTCATAATATCTTTTTTTCAGCAAATACAATTCACTGAGTGTTGAATGATATACGGCCAATGTCAACAAGTAAGTAAAGTTGTCGTTAAACTTGGATAATCAAAACACTCTCAGCTTCGATATATACTAATTTATTTATTACATCTAAATCAATTTAAAAGTTTAACGCAATGAAGACTTGCCTTGTGATGAACCTGCAGTGCTTAAGCTTCCACAATCGTGGGAAAATCACCATTTCATGATTTAATTAAATATCTACTTTAACGTGCAAGCATGTAAACAATTTAAAAGTCTGCATGGTGCAGTATTTCCAGAAACCCCTACTTTTATCGAACCTCCTATGCATTGTCAGTGTATCTTTCAACGAGACCATGATTTTTCCCATTGTGGTGTTGGTCTCATTTGTGCAAAATATCGCCAATTGGGAGTGGATGGGGAGGGGGATTGAATGGGAGTGAGGTGGGGTAAAGTGACTTGCGTTGGGTTGGAATGCAAAAGAAAACGTTTGATGCGTTGCTCTGATTAAATGAAACCGCCACTGGTGTCTTTTGAGAAGCCAAAGCATTATTAATGAATTAGTTTGTGTAAGTATCTTGCTGTTGAACGGACAAATCTCAAACGCAAATTGCGGTGATGCGTTGTTAAGTAGCCACAAACTAGCTACAACAGTAAACAACTTTCATTTTACGCCCCATTTGTACGTAGCTTAACAGTTCAAACTTAAAGGTGTGCTTATAATAGGCTGTTATGAGCATTATAAATTCTTTTGGTGCTTTAAAGAAAATACCTGCAAAACTGTTGATCCGATGCTTAAACTTTAACTTAATTGATTTTTTTTGAGCAATGTCAAAAATGTATTGGAAGGATGATTGACTTACAGTGATTTTAAGGAAACTGGAACCATTCCCATTTACGGATTTACATTGGACTTCAAAGTCCCATGTTTCGCAAGTTCTGTACGAAAAGCAAGGTTTTAACCAACAGTTTCGAAATAGTTAAAGTACTGTCGGTTGTCTGGTTTCTAGCCCAACTTTTCTCCATTAAGCAACTGTTCCTCCTACTGCTGTTGATTTTTAACCGGTAAATTTTTTGAATTTTAATAGCCCATGGCACTTGCCAAAACTGTTAGCCATACGCAGACAGTGGCTAAAATTATCATCAAACCAAAAATCTAATGGTAAAAAGCTTTGAAGAACTGCTGAACTAGTTACCATAATCCGTTTTCATTCATGCCTATTTCAGCACAGATTTTTGTGATTTATGGTGGTCTTAAAAAGCCAAACAATTAATGAACAGCGTTGGGACCGCAGCTCGGATGGGCTATAATTAATCATAATTTTTATGGTTTACATTTTCTACTCGCAATTTACATAAAATAAATTCTTCTGCGGGCAGGCATAAGGATAAAAAACTGATATTTAGAAGAAAACAAAGTATGCAAAATTATTTCAGTGTACGGATTCGAGCTCTCATTAAAACTATTCTCACTTCATGGAAGAAAGAATAAATAATCCCTTTCACAGTACTCGCAAGCCTTATGCTTATTTTACGTGGATTAAAGGCCAAGATTAAACTTTTCATGTGTAAAATACCAAATATTGGAATTGAAACAACGCTTATTGGCTTGGTAACTCTAAGTAAATTTAAGAAGCGCCAACGGTGAATTGGATTTGGTCATGTACTGAAGCATTGTTTTTTAAAGACTTGATGGAAGAAGGTGGCATTCCGTCCCGCTTGCTTGCACGGAGTTGAGAAAGTCACATTGCTATGATCTTCCTCCATTTTGCATTTCATACACACAAATGTTTTTAATGTCAAATCATTTGACACTTGAGACGTTTTTGTGTAAAAAAAGCGAAAAAATGAGTGCAGATTACTCTCACAATCAAATAAAACACTACATTTAAAATGAGAAACACGTATTTGTATCTCTAAGTTGATAGCAAATTGGCAAAGTTTCTCAAAATTCTTAAAAAGGTTATTAGGCTAGAAACTTTACTTTTAAAGGTTTCTGTCCATATTCACTTACTTTTTACATTAATAGCGTAAATTCTCAAATTCCCAGCAGTATGCAGGGAGTAATTTATTTTTCTTCCTGCATCCCCAAATTCACATGCTTGTGAGTTTTTTGCCTTGGCTACTGTTATATTGACTGGATTTGCATAAAAACTCAAGAACCAAAGCTGAAAAATGCCAACAAGATAAAAATTAACTCGATAAAATGAGTAGCGAGTAATGATGAGTATGAATTTGATAATTACTTTCGCACCTATGAATGTTGGTGCGTCACACTGTGATATGGCGGAAATGCTTAGAACCTGGTTTGAATCAAATTTTCTCATCTCGCGGCTAATTTGGAATTTTGAGAGAATAATTAAGAATGTCCACGTCGGTAATTGCACCATGGTCATTTCTCCCATCTTTGTAGATTATATGCATGGATTTGCATCAACATCACATTTATCTTTTCCTTGAAAAGGTTTTAACGTTTAAGCCTTTAGATTTATTAAATAATGGTGCTATTTATGATTCTTCATTATAGAGATATAATTCATAATCTTTGTACAAGTTTACTGATCATGTGTTTTTGACAAATAAACAGGACTTCCTCCTTATAAAATGCAAAAAACACTTCTTCATTAGTGCTGATTTTCAGTGAACTGATGGTGTCCTTACTATCTATACAATAACAAAGCCTCAGAGTTGTTGCATTTGAATGCATTTTGAATGTGTTTAAGCTGAGTTATGGAATTCAAATGACTTAATTGCAAACTCTACTCTTCGGCGTTTGTATAATGGTAGGTCGCAATTTTCATAGGCAAATTAGCTGAACTCATCCAGCCTCATGCTGGAGTTCGCTGATTGGTCAGTTGACCGAGGGAAAAGGATGTTCTGGTCCTAATGACACATTAAGTCCAATTTTTCACTTTGGGCAGGTTTTATTCCACTATCACTGAATCCCCTACTACAGCTTGCGCCTTTAAGTAAGTTATAGATCAACGTTCGACCACGATGACCATATGTGTAGGTCCCTCCTTTTTAAAATTAATATGCAAACGAACTACTATAGGTTTCAAATAACCACTCTGCTTGGACTTATAATGACATGACATAATACATCGAGGACAAACTCTTTGTTCGACAATGATTGAACCCTTGATTATAATAACCCTTTGTATTATCCAATTTCTCACACTCGTGTCACCATTTCCAACGGCGGAGTCAGAATTCGACTGCGCTGAATTACCACGGAATCATTTGATGAAAAGAAACAGATTTGCAAATCCACACCGAGAAACAACTTTGTTGCACGAGGAGAGACCACTTGTGAACACTTCACAGCGGCGGCTCAATGCACCCTGCTTTAATGCTTCCTTCCCAACAAGTCTGACTGTCGAAGAGGGCAGTGACGTCATACTCCCCTGTGTGGTGCATAATGTGGATTTTAATTCCATCGTGGTAGGAATTTTATGCACTTAGTAATCATATTTTTAAAGCTTAACGGAATCCAATGATGATAGAAAGTGACTCCTTAGCATAGCTCTGACTTTAACAGCTAGATTGTTGTCAATTTTATTGGATTCAAAAATGCAACCGCACTCACAGAAACGAATAGCAGTTAGGTTTTGAAAGTAAATGGCGTAGAAGTACACCAATTTTGCGACCCAAAAATATGTGTTTCCCACCCTTCGAGATAGTGATTTCCTAGAAGCATATTGAGCCTCCATGCAAGGGATGGTTGCATAATATGTCACTTTTGTCTTTCGGATGACCTTATTATGCGGAACTATTTTGCGTTATTCACCTTTTTACTTCCCCAAATTTCAACTCCACCAACATAACCCTTACCAAACTACATTTGTCGGTCTTTGATTAGATGAGCTGGTTTAAATATGTAAGCCCACAGGATTTTTTAATACACTCTTTTGAGGAAGGGCTGCGGTTTCAATTTCCAGAATCTTTCATTCACATTTTTACTTTTCTAAAATCCCGTGTGACCTTGCTAGCAAGAGGTAATGGCCAAATGGTACAACAATGACTAATAATTATAAAGCTTTTGCAAAATGTATGTTTACAACTTAGGTCTATCGTACGTGATGTCAGTTTTCGTCGGTTCACCTCTAAACATAGAAGCCCCACCAACTTCTTAGTGCCTGAAATGTTTAAAATTACCCATTAATAAAGTCGAATTTTGACCCTTTAAAATGATACCAAATTTGACTAGATATTTTGGAATATGATCCAAAGCGGTGCTTTTATTGCGAAAAGTCAGAGATAAACGCTCTTCGATGGTCAAATTAAGCCTTAGAAAGCATATAGTATACATGTAAAGACAGGAGAATGCCCTATTGTAAAGTTTCCAAAAAATGGTTTACATTAAGTTTTTCACTGTAAAGATAAATTCATGAACTGCGATTAAAAGAAGCACTTCATAAAATACAAAGTAATCATTTTGCAGCGGGAGTTCCTGCTTTGCTGGGGAATTTTCTATAGCAGTGATGGATTTGCTGTTTGGTATTTCCCTTTAACTGTGCTACAAACCAATTTTGGTAAAGTAAAATAATCGAATTGCAACTATATCCAATTAAATCAGAACTAAGCACCCCATTCAAGTTAAAGTTAATTTTACAAAAACATGTTCAGTCTTTGATAAAAATCTAGACGTAAAATCATCAAGCAAACATTTTTTCATTACAGCGCATAAAAGTACCCATTTGAGTATAAGAGTAGTAATTTTGTTTAATGGTAGAAGCTAATAAAACGACCCTCTAGAATACGAAGTTCAAAATGGCATTTCCTCTTAAATACACAAGATTATCTCTCTGCAGGAAAGGTGGACACATTCTGTAATCGGAGGTTTAATTTGTTTTGTTTTCTTTTTTAATGACTTCTGTGGATGTCAATTGAGGCTCATCGCTGATGTCAGACTTGCATGCTTGCGAATTTGGCTTCCTTCCTTCCGTCTATTTTGCATGTCTCCTAAGGAATTGGGATAAAATGCTTCACTGGTTAACTGACCGATAGGTTAAAAGTCCTCCTTACTCTTGTACCCGTTTTAAACATTTTTCAGCAGGACAAGTTAGCGAGCATTTTTATAAATCGTAACTGCACACTTGCTTATGTAATTAATAATCTCACTGAAATCGCACTTAGCCAAAGCCTTTGATATGCCATTTAAGGTCAGCTAGCGAGTTCAAGTTTCAGAAAGGAGACTAGATTTTCATTAAATGAGTAAAAGCGAACCTAGACCAAACTTTCTTAACGGACTCTTTTAATGATATATTTATTACCTTACACATCCACTGTCAGCGTCACACGCACAAGAACTCGATTTCCTTACTTGAGCCCTTACAACACACATTTGAAGAAAGTGATTTAGGATGCAAAGAAAAGATTAAATGGAGGCAACTGGTATTTAACCGAATAGCAGTAAGGCATCTGGTCTCCGGTGGCCGGTCGTCCCCCAAGGCTGCACCAGCAAAAGTGCTGCACTGAAATGTCATTATTCCTGTTTGACCTCACATTGTTCTGCATGAAACCGGTAAGAGATTGGTAAGGTGCTGTTTGACCTTAAAGCCACGTTCTGGAGTCCGTATTCCAATCCATTCAGTCATATGTATAAACATCGGTTTGATTAGTTGTCTGTTAATCTCTTGACTTATTTGATCTTTTAAGCAATATTTAGAGCTAAAGGGCAGTAATTGGTAATGTTGCAATCATTAATTGTGTGGAGCACAATTTGTATGATTTTTGTATTCACACTCTCAAGATTCGAAAAACCGACAGTATAAAGATATGTATATGCTTCTCCATCTAACAATAATTTGTTGCTGAAAAAAGGAGAAAAGCAAAAATTTTCCCATGCGCTTAGTGGACTTGATCTGGACTAGATTTCTAACATAAATATGCCTTTATAGTTCCCGTACATTTGGCATTACCTTCATGTTGCAGTCCTACTATGTTATGGGGTTTTGGCAACGAATATTCATGCCCTATATTTATGTGTCAGTCACATTAACAATATTCTTGTGAATGTCAACTAGGCTAGCACATAAAACAGTGATTACACGATTCTTATCACACACGTCCTTTGATTTTTGCCCATGTGGACCTAACTTTGTAATATACAACTTTAGAGTTGTTAAAATTTTAAAATGTAAGAAGCAAATTGCATGTACCTTCTGTAAGTCCTGGTTCGCTGTGGCAAAGGCTTATGGTGTCCTCTTCCTTTACTCTGATGAAAAATGCGATTGTTTCTAGTTGAAATTGTCTAGCTCTTATGAACCGGAAACAGTATGAGCATATTACCTCTGGCAATCTCCCGCAATATTCTTATTTTACTTCTGACTTTAAGTTTAAAATGAAGTTTTACCAAAGTCAATCAAAATCAAAGCTCCCAACCGAACACAGTTATGCATAAAATCTACTTACACGCATAAAATGAAAGGCAAATTTCCCCTTCATTTTGCATGTCTGGTAGTTAAGAAGTAAGCGTCAACAATCCGCTCATTAAATTTCTTTCATTTTTTGCCTTTTTTGAGTAAATAAGTCACAAAGACCAATTAATTTGCTTGGATACCCAATTTAGGAAAATATTCAACTTCCAAAAAAATGTTTGCAGAGATTAAATTAGCAGGTCTGTCCCGGTTTACTTTCCAAACTCCAATACTAACCAGAAATCTGTGGATTTTCACAATAATAATGCATTGCAACGATCCAAATTCGAGATAAAATCGTGCCATTTATTTCATGATTTAGCTTCGAATTTGCTCTAATTACATGCAAATGCTCTTGGAGTGATTCCTACCTGGCTTATCTGCGGCATTGCAGGCTGATCGTGGATGAGTAAATCCTATAAGAATGTATAACGACCAAAATATTACTCTAATAACGAAATAAATGCGTACTTATAAAATTGACTTAAGTAGTATTCCCCTGATTAGTTTAGTAAAAACGTCGAATTAACAAAAACTCGTTTAGGATATTATATATCTCAGCATAGTAATAGTGACCTTTCATTACTTCGCCATTCGTATGGTTAGTCACCAATAAAGAGAAGATCTTTTGGCCAAAGGCTTTGGCTAGGGATGATAGCATCTACTCTCCCTGCATTATTCGGCTAGGTCTTTAAAGAAGGTACTGGTATCACGCGTCTCATTCATTAAGGCCACTGAGATGATCTGGCAGATTACGGATATCCACCTCAACCACAAATGGCAAAAAAACTTTTTCTAGGATGCTTAAAATAACTTTGTTGACTGTTGCGATCTATGCCTTGTGTGGTCTCGGATTCATTTGGATTTGTGGCAGACATTAATCAACTATAACGGGATTTCATAAATTATGATTAAAACCACTCTGTGATAGCGCTGCCTTTGCTAATACTGTTCCCACTTATGCTGGTTGTACTTTCCACTTTTTATAAGTGGACTTTCTACCAAGAAAAGTAGAATTGTGCATCCTTTTCTTTCGGTAATTGTCCCCGAATAACATTACACATGACCACAATCGTTTAAATGTGCAGTTGTCATTGCAAAAATTCTAAACAATAGCTAAAACAGTTGGCAATGGACCCATCGTATCGCAAGATTACGCGTCTTCCCTGAATGTATTCGGACGCTGTAATGACTTTTGAAGAAGCACAAATTATTAGTAGCGAAATCCCACAATCAAGTGAGATTTGCGTAACTATAAGTTTGTTCCCAAAATTAATAATTATGAAGTTTTATACATAAATAGACAAGATTTTTTAAGGCATAGAGGAAGATTTAGAGAAGTTTTTTGTTAACAAGGACCCAGTCATATTATTTCATTTAAAAGTTTGCACAGTATGATCAGGCATTCTTCAGGATAAAAAAAATTATGAAAAATGGTACGATGGATGTTTTATTCCCAAGGACACGTAAATGCTTGCTTTTTACTGGTTTGTTCTAACGTTATTCCCATTTATTTTTAAAGTGAAGGTTGGCAACAACAAGAAATACATTTAGCAGTAAAATGTAGACGTGCGTATAATTGCAGGTGCAGTAGTCTCATACATGTTTATTTAATAGTAAACATGGTTGATAATTTTGAGATGAATGGTCAAGCCAGAAATTTACGGAAAGTAGGCCTTAGTATTCCCGCATTAATTGTTTGCTGCATTAGAATTGTCATTGATCGTATTAAATTACTCAAAAACATGGAGACAAAGCATTTTGACCGTCGCTTTTTGTTGCAGATGTCATGGTGGAAAGAAAGAGCAGTAAGGGAACTTGCAGTGGGAGACAATACCTCTGACAAGCGCTTTTCAATTGACAAGTCCATTCGTGGGGGATGGAGCTTGAGAATAGCAAATGTCAGCCTCAGCGACAGTGGTGTGTACATATGCCAAATTAACTCGAAACAACTTCGGGAAAGATTCATTAGTCTCGCTGTATCAGGTGCGTAAAGCTAGTGTATTCTGGAAGATATCAATTACCGTTACTGAAAACTTACTGGTCTCCGCACAGCTTATTCACAAACCAAACGCCCTGCAATACCTACTCTTTCCAGCAATGATGTACTCGTGAAGGATGAAGCCATGCATTCAGGGAAAAATTTTGGTAAGATTTTGATCAACAAATGGAGAAAAGTAGACATTTTACACTAAACTGGCTCTACAATAGTATCATTATGCTCCACAGTACTGCCACGAGTTCGTCACAAACGTAATTATTCCCCACTTCCTTAAACAAATTCTATCGTCAGTGAAAATGTTTACGTTTGCACAATGGATTCGAATTATCCGTTAAAAGTGCTAATTAATACCGTAACATTCGGTTTTCACTAATGTGGAAAAAAAATAAATGGCGGCACATTAATCCTGGGAATTAATATGTAAGCACGAAAAGGCAAAATAGTTTTGGAAAATTACCAAAATATGCGGCAACATCACTTGCATCAGTGAATGTTTGAAACCTTGAAAAGAGCTTCATATATTTAGCATAAAAATTTTCACTATCGAAAGTTAAGGCATATTTAAGCTTTGAAATTTGACAAAAAATTGCATGTTAGTGACAAGAAAACGACAATAAATTAGATAATGACCTGAAGATCCAACCCCTTTGAGGGTGACTTACGCATTACTGGTTATATTGCCATGAGCCGGATTCTAAAACTATTACTTAGAAGACAGGGAAAGTGTTCATTTTAGATCTCACCACACAGGGGTCCTTGTGGAAACCTTTTCTGCCCGCGCTCGGTTACGAGTGGATGCAAATAAAAACGACATCTTCTGCTTCCTATTTTCCAAAATTTATTTTCTCCTTTCTTAGTTCCTCCATTATATATCTACTGGCAGTTGTGACCTAGATTTATATGAAAACTGCCCTGCCCTACCTATACCTACTCGTGTCTTCTTGTAAATTAAATAAATGCCTTGTACAGTATGAGATTTTGCGTTTTGAAAGGTTCCTTTGCTCCATACGAAAGAAGGCATTTAGCCAGACCTTAAAATTAAGTGAGTCTTTAAATTCTGATTCAGGAATTTCATTTGAGACCATTTCAATTGTCATAAATAAGTACAGAGCGCCATCCAAATCATTTACGGTAAGCATAAATGTCAGCATCTCATACGTGTAAACTGTGGTTTTTGGCATCAAGTAGCTAAAAGGACGCTTTGGAAAAGGTCATCCATAGAACTTAACAGTCGAAGCATCGGCACATAAAATGAGTGGAACCAATTTTCCCTCAATTTTATTTCAACCTGGACCTGGTGTTCAATTATTCCTAATGCTGAGTATGCAAATTGAATTTGGGCAAAAAAAGTAAAATACATAAATTCTATCACTTTGTAGGTTTTGAAGATGGAATATTTTGTCTTGTTTGATAAATAATAAAACCACGAAATCTTCTAGAAAGATTCCTGGTGCAATCCATGCATTAATTGGTAAGTAAGTTGAGTTTAATTTGTTAGGCCCGAAGTTCATAAACATTGTTTGAGCCAAAGCAGACATTTATAATAATTAATCTCATTTATTATACCGAAAAGGATTCTCTGTTTGCACAGAAAAAAAAATTTAAACACAAATCAAAAAGGATTGGCGATTAATGATTTAATCAAAATAAAGTAAAATCCTAAGTCACAGTTGATCTTAGTTGCATCAAAACGTAAAATCTCCTAAACTTGACAGAAATATGCAATGTGGCCTGGTAATTTTAGGATGTATACGCACTTGTTCCCCATTTTTAGTACCATTTTTAGTCCATTGGTACTATGAAGGTCTTAATCGAGTGGAGTTACTTTGTTTCCGTTCGCAAATACCCTCTAAAATCCATCTCTTATTTGTGAGCAAATCAACTCTACAGTAGGTGTTAAGCGACTTCGGAATGCGATGAAAACAACCAGCGGATCGAGCACCACGTGTCCCCATAGCAAACCACTGGGATGGTACTGACTTACCCACAAATGGAAATTGAGCTGGCCTTGTCTTCTAGTTTATGTATTGAGGACCAGTGATTCATAATTCAAAATCCTGATATCTAATCATTGCAATCACTGGTTTCACTCATCCGCATTAATGGCTACTTAAGTCACCATGTAATATGATGGTGGTTTATCCTTCGGTATTGGTGGGGCGCCACTTTTGTACTTTGAATTTGCCTTCTTGCTTCTCGCTGGATGGGCTGGCCTTTGGGCCACGCTAGTAGCCCAGACACCTTTTCTATGCTGAATACATATATTCTGCCCGAGTATTGTGTCTCCTTTCATCGTCTCCTGGGAGTCTCGAGACGCTACAACTATTTATCTTTGCTACTGCATGTGAACTAATCCCCATTAACAAGAAGTGCTGTGTAAATTCAACATCCACAGACTAAATATTTTGACATTAATAATGAACCTGGTAAAGTTGGCACTCCATCAAGCTATTCCTAAAATTAAGCAAACAATAACTTTTAAGACCTTAACAAACACTGTAGTTTTCCTTTCGAGAAACAGAGAAAGATAAGCCTTTTCTGCTAAAAAATCAAGGCTCTCCACACCAAACACAGGATTACCCACTAAATGGAATACAGAATTACACGTTAATATGTTTGTTCAAATCAATTTGACATTATTAACCTGTGTTCAATTAACCGCCTCGATAGAGTGCCACCTCCACATAGAATGTTAACTATTAAATAGTTATTAATTATCCTTCTCGGCCAGTAGAATGTCTGAGTACCTTGCTTTAAAATAAAGGAAGCCTCTGCAGTGAAATAGTTGCCTAAGGGAATACTTAATGTGTAGAGTGAACAGGACGGAACATACTGGTTTGTTATTTCTGGTATTCCTGTTGAGCCTTTGAGCTGCGCCCTACAGGATGTCCACTATCACTTCGTAGACATCGATCCTTGTCTCTACCTCGTACCGCTTTGTGTCAATATAGTTCATATCTGTACCTTTAGTAATTTGCGTTAAACATCAATTTAAGAGACAAAAACAGCAATTAATTCAGGGAAACTCCTACAATCATCACAGAGACCACAAAATCCCCCTTTTATTGTAAACATTTTTGAAAAGATGGGCGATTTCATTTGGAGTTCTCAATGCTCTACTTTGAACGCAATTTTTGGGAAGATTTCGTTAAATTACCTTGACCTGGTCCAACATTATGCCACCAAGCTTACCTATTTCATTTTAGAATGCCTTGTGATATCCAGTAATAAACATTTAGTTCCTTATACTTCATTAT